GTGATTGTGAGTGGTCTTTGGGTAGGCGACCCCCGGGGTGGGCACAACAGGAGCTGTAGATAAGCCCTTGGTCTGTGGGGTGTCAGCTGTCTACTCACAGCTGTATTGTGAGGGCCTAGAAGAACTCTGCCTAGTACACAAGAACTCAGTATTTATTAACTAGTCTTGTCATTAAGATAATTCCTAGATAATTTAATTGCTGTCTATTATATTTATATTGGTATATATTTACCTTTAATTTCCAAAAAATCATTTAAAAAAATAATTCAACAAAACCTAAATGTCTGTGTCAAATTAGCCTACCCATTCTTTTCCCCACGGAATATAAGGAATATGTGGTAAAATCATTCTATGCCTCAGTTAGAACGCAAAAAGACACGTATCTTACAACACTGTGTATGCCTCTATCACACCAATTGGTACACTTAATCTTCAATATATTTTTTAGCTGTGTGATTATACATAACTCAGGCTGGTTTAACAAAGAAATTAGAAAACTTTTTACTGGCTGAATTTAATTGGGAATTTCTAGGGAAAATATAAAAAGAATATCAGCAAAATCTTGACATATTTTAGCAATAAATTTAGTGTATTTGAAGAAAACCATTTTATTTTTTTCAATTAAGCCATAGAATCTGAGTTTCATGGTTGTGCTTTGTATAATCAGGTTAAAAGGAAATGCTCTAGAAGATATGTTTTTAAAAGTGTATTACCTGTAAGATGTGCTAATTCCTCCAGGTCTGGGGCCACAGATGAACCCAGGGCGATGGAGTGCACGGTGGAGCCACTGCTGAGGACGGTGAGGAAGCAGTTGCTGATATGCTTGTCATCCCCACTGGTCACCAAAATCATCACTGAGCCGTAGGCTTTTCCATTCAGTTTTTCGACCACCTGAACGTAGATTATCGGTTATTTGGGAGGAGTTGTCATTCACATTGCTCTACTGAGCAGAGGAATTCACTCTCATTCCCTATTCCCTTCAAGCACATGTATTAGCTCCCAGTAGCTCCCTGGACTCTGTGTCCAGCCCCCCCCCCCCCCCTTTTTAAAGGCAGAGTCCCATTTGTCACCCTTATCAGAGTGCCCTGGCATCACAGCTCACAGCAACCTCAAACTCTTGGGCTCAAGCGATCCTCTTGCTTCAGCCTTCTGAATAGCTGGGACTACCAGTGCCCACCACAACAACTGGGTATTTTTGTTTTATTAGAGCTGGGCTCTTGCTGTTGCTCAGGCTGGTCTTGAACTCCTGAGTTCAGGCAATCCACCTGCCTTGGTTCCACATACTGATGGGACTACAGGTGTGAGCAACCGCACCCCGCCCTACCCCACTGTCTTGGCTTCATTCATCACAGCACGTGTTTCCCAAAGGCTATTGCCGGGTTGCTTGTGGGCAGGGACTTCTCCTGTTTGAATCACCGTGAGATGCCCATCATTCAGAAGAATCTCCACCATGAGGATTCAGGGTATATTGCTGTGGGAGAACCTGTTCTCTGAGATGCAGCAATTCACCATCGAGAGAGGGCCCACAGCAGCCTTGCTCCCAGCCTTGGCCAGGCATTGGAGCCAGATGGGGAGCTTTAAAAATTCTTAGTGGCTAACTCCATACCCCTGATTAATAAGTCAGCATCTCTGGCATCAGTATTTTTTTAATCCCCAGGTGGTTTCCCTGGGCAGCCAAGGTGGAGAAACGCTTGCTTATAGGTAGCAACAACAGAAGCTGACGTCAGATACTCCATGTGTGGCTGCGTCCTGTGCTGATGCAGGTGAACTCTATGATTCCTGAAACATCTCTCTGGCCTTTGCGTATATTTGAGGTTTAGTATTGCTATGGGCAGAAGCCAGACACATTGATTTTTGACTAGAAAACCCAGGGGTAAAAATGGCCACAACTGGGAAAGCCCAAAATGAACAGGAACACTTTATTTATTTTTGAGACAGAGTCTCACTCTGTCACCCTGGGTAGAGAGCTGTGGTGTCATACATAGCTCACAGCAACCTCAAACTCTGGGGCCCAAGCAATCCTTTTGCCTCTGCCTTCCAAGTAGCTGGGACTACAGGTGCCCACCACCATGCCCAGCTACGATAGGGACAGTTTAGTAAGTGCCCAGACAATGTTTAAGTCCTCTGGCCGTTAAGTGTTTGGCCATTGTGTCTGTTTATTTACTCTTTTATCAAGCAACTATTATAAATCAGGTGCTTTGCTCAGCACAGGGCATATGATGGTGAACAAGACATGGTTTCTGACTTTAAGATAATCTTTCACTACTCTCCATAGTTGGGGCTGGTGTGACCAAATATCATGGATTGCCCACAGAAGAAACCTCATATACTAATGAGGGAAAGGAAAGTGACGTGATTCAAGGCTTAGGATGTGCCATCATACCTCAAATCCCTTCTTAAGCCCCAAACAGACACTGGCTTCTGCTCCGGCAGACACAGTGGTGGGCAGCTGTGAAACCAGCAGCTTCCGGTCATCATTGGTGTTAATTTGGCGTAGCTGGGCTCTGATCTCCCCTTTGCTGCTAAAACTGGCGATGCCCACGAAGGTATGAATTGCAACAATCTGCATCAAATAAAATTCTGCTGCTTGCTGCAGTCGAAGAAGGCTGTCAGCCTGTGTCCCGCAAAGGAAAAGAGAAGGTAGACAAAGCGTGACTAACGCATTAGCAAACATCTCTGTTACTTCTTTAGAGTTGTTGGGTATTGGCTTTCTGAGTCGTAAACGGTGCCATAATGTTAGAATATTATTCCAGTCATTGCAGGCTCAAAAATGCAATGCTTTTCGGGGTTAGTGGGGTGGTTTGGAACGCTGCCCCAAAAAGCTGTTTGTAATTTATGACTCTACGAACACCTATCCCCACTGTTTCTCTCCAACCCAGAATTCAAAGATTCATGAAACCAGCTGAAAGTAGGTTTGTGACCACTTCTTTTAAAATTCAGTCTGGGTGAAAGGAAACATTGCAAAGAGACCTTGTCACAGTAGGAAAGAGTAGAGTCAGAGGTCTAGTATCTGTCCTGGCACTAACTTCTGTCACTGTGGTCATCTTAGGCTGCTCAGTGGGGATGATATCTTCCTTGTTTATTAATTTAGAATTGCTATGACGATCACCTAAGATATGTACATATGTGATAGTATAGTTATACCATGAAGTACTACCAATATAAAGGACAGTCAGTTCCTGAGTTACAAACATCTGACTTACATACAACTCACATTTAAAGATGGAGGCTATTACAGGTAATATGTAAATGTATCTGTTTATGGGTGCACTATTTATACACAAATTCAACTTAAGAATAAGCCTACAGAGCCTATCTCATTCGTAACCCAGGGACCACCTATCATATTAGTGCCCAGGTTTGCGCAAAGGCTGCTGCTGATTTAAGCACTAGCTTCACTTGTTTTGAAGGCTGCAGGGAGAGAAAGCAGCAGCCAGCAGGGCTCCAGTGACCACCTGGTCTGTGACAACTGTGATCCCTATCCCCAACCCAGACATTTCCTTAAATATCTGGGCTTGCATTTCACACTTCTTAAAACACATCACCAATTTAACATCTCACAGGTACCTCAGACTCTACATGCTTTGAATTCATTGCCTCTCTTCCTGAATATCTTTTCTCTCACGGTATTGGGAGATGAATTTGTAAAGGGGATAAAATAAGGACTTTGAAGCCTGCCTTCAACCTTTACTAATTATGTGACCATGGAAAAAATCTCTTCTCTTATTAGCTTCAATTTCCTCATTGCAAAATGGATACTGAGTAGGCATACAGAATATGATAGCTGTTGCCACTATCACAGTCACACATCAACATGCCCAACCATGATCTCTACTTCCACCAGGTAAGCTTGAAACCTGAGACCCTCTTCTACCACTCTTGCTACCAGCCCTGGTAACATTGAATTGAACAGTGCAACACCATAATTTTCTCTCAAATCCATACCATGTCTCGATCCCACCTGCCACTTCTCAGCTCCACCCACTGTCAATGGTGTTAGTTATAGACATTCAAATCAATTCCCTTCCCTTGAACAAGCCCTTTTAATTTTGCCTCTTGGCCACTGCACAGACTCTTTCCTTCATAAGACCAGGTAGTGAGCCATAGTTTGGTGACCTTTGGCATAGATAATAGGAAAATAGAAAAAACTATAAGTGACGAGTTTTGATAAGTTAGTACATGTATTTTAATATATTTTATTTAATGAAAATATACATACTTTAATTTTTTATTAATGGCTGTGTTTAATAACTGGTTTACCAATTTCCTAAGAATCTAATAACTGAATCGTATTATCTTTATCAATGAGAAAACCATGCTTCAGAGAGGTCATCTTGCTCTTTATTACACAGACAGGAAGTGAAGGAGCCAAGACTTAATGCACATGTGCTTGATTCCAGAGACTTAGCCTTTAATCACTCTCTGAGAACTAGAGTTTTCAAGAGTGGGTTACCAGGAGGCTGAAACATCACCTGAATACTGAGATGTATGTCTCTTGTGCATAATGATATGGAAAATATCCACATAATGGTCATGGATGTTCCCTTCAAACTCATGCACTCCTTGGAATGTCTACCAGTAGCATAATATGGTCAGACAGGAGCTTTTTGTTACATGTCAGAATTTTGGAAAAGGGTCTTGGTTGGAAAAAGTTGTAATTAGTAGCAAAAATGAGCGTTAGGAATTATCTGTGGATTTCATTTACCTACATTATCTCAATTTCTGGACCACATTCTGCATTTGTTTCCCCCATCCTTGAGAAAATAAGATGTCCTTGACTCCTGCAAGCCTTTTGCCCCCTCCCCCACATTCCCCTTTACCATCTGAAAATAAGAAGAATTAAAAACTGATAGGAAAGAAAGAGAAATGACTTAGAATCATTTTAGATCAAAAATGTTACCTCTGCCATCTTGCTGGACACATCCAGCACTAAACAGACCACTTTGTCACCAGCCTGTACAAGGGAGAATGTGGGAGGAGGTGGAAGTTCCGTCCCATTCATGGGAAAGGCATAACTGAAGTCGGCAGACTCTGTGATTACGTCCCATGCACTTCTGAGGCTACACATTTGGTTCTGTAGGTTTGGAGCTTCTTGGTTGTGAGTACTTGCATTACAGAAATCAACCACCTGGAAAAAGAATAGTCTATCAGAGAATGAAAGCTCTCCTTCCATAGCAGACACACTTTTCATTGTCAAGCAACTACAGAAAAAAAAGGGTGAGTTGAAAGAAAGGAATTCAGAATGCTACAGTAATGTACTTATTTCCTTCAAGACATCAAATTTACAAGTAGGCCTTGGTATATTTGCTTGAAACACCAGCACACTTATGGTACTGAAAGGGATTACTATTAAAATTTACTTGCACTTAGATAACAGAGAGCAGACCATGTATGTGTGTGTGTGTGTATCTTAGTCTTAAAAAAACAAAACAATTTTCCTCCTTCCTCAATGTAATATTGTGCTAAGAAAACACCCTAAGACATGTTATCGCATTGGCTTATTCCTTGGAATTAGCTTTAATCACAACTACACCCTGTATTTGTTCATCAGGCAACATGTATTAATCTAGCTCAAATATTGATCTCTGTAAAAATAAGATAAGAAAGAAAACAATTTAAATCTACTTCCTGATCTCTCTTCTTTAATTTGGATATATAGATTTTCTTTTTTTTTGAGACAGAGTTTCACTTATTAACCCTCAGTGGAGTGCTGTGAAGTCACAGCTCACAGCAACCTCCAACTCCTTGGGCTTAGGTGATTCTCTTGCCTCAGCCTCCCAAGTAGCTGGGATTACAGGCGCCCACTACAATGCCCAGCTACTTTTTTTGTTGTTGTTGTTGTTGTTGCAATTAGGCTGGAGCTGGGTTGTAACCCATCACCCTCAGCATATGGGGCCAGCGCCCTACTCACTGAGCCACAGGCACCGCCTGATATATAGATATTTTTAAAAATATCTATATTGTTAGATATATATGACTCTATGTCAGCACCCCACTTAAGGGTATGGCTTGTGTTGGAATTTAACACTTCACCAGCTATTCCTGTTAGCAGGAAGAGTTGATACTTCTGCTAACACAGCTATGGGAGCTTAGAGCTCAAAGATACCTTATAAAAAAAAAAAAGATACCTTATAGCTTGAAGATACTATATAGACTTTCTCTCATCTCTAATTTCATGGATAAGGAAGGTGAGGCTTTGAAAAGTTAATAACTGCTTAACGACATAAGTTTCTTAGTAGGTGGGGAAATAGGAGCGAATCTAATTTTGTTATGTTTTGGTTAACTCTTTTTCTTACATTTAAATACCATAGTTAGAGAATTATGTTACTTCTCAGACTAGATATATTTATGAATAGGTCTGTCAAAGGATCACAAAGATAGTACCTAGTCACAAACCCTGTGGATCAGATACATGGGATTAGGTTGCCTTCAGATATTAAAACTGTAAGTTAAAAAGAGAAAATTCAACAGAACCATGAGCCCATAGTGCTCCTAGCTTTGTAGAGAGTTAACATACAGATAGGACTTTCTGGTTTTTGTGAACTTGGATAGATACATTAGGTCATCAGTACTGATGCGACTAAGACGCTGAATCACCTAACTCCCTCATTTCTGACTCCATACTCTTAGAGCAGCTTCTGGTGAGACTTTGGCTGTTTAATGTTGCTTTATTCAGAGAGAGATGAACTGGCCAGAAGCTGCAAGTAGGAGATCCCTATGACAGAATTTGCTTTTTAAATGTTTATTATCATTACTATTATCATTATTATTTTAGACAGAGTCTCACTCTGTTACCCTGGGTAGAGTGCCATGGTGACAACCTAGCTCACAGCAACCTGAAACTCCTGGGCCCAAGCAATCCTCTTGCCTCACCCTTCTGAGTACATGGGACTACAGGTACCCTCCACCCTGCCCAGCTAATTTTTCTTATTTTTTTTAGTAAAGATGGAATCTCTCTTGCTCAGGCTGGTCTTAAACTCCTGAGCTCAAGCGATCCTTCCACTTTGGCCTCCCAGAGTGCTAGGATTACAGGTGTGAGCCACTGTGCCTGGCCTAAAATAATAATTTAAAAATAGTGTTTTGGGTTGGTACACTAGTCTCCTGTCAGCATGGAACACTGTCAAGGTCGGGTTTCTAAGATGTAAAGCTGAGGGTTCATTGACTTCCCCTGGGGACACCTCACCTTTAAGTTCTAGACTATGTCAAAAAGGGAAAGAAAATTAACATATGAAATTTAAAATATAAAGTTGTTTTCTACCTTAAATGAGAGAAATACAATCATTTGTTATATTAACCCAATACATTTTCCTATGAAAGAGTACAGGAACACCACCCTATGAGCAATGGTTGTGGTCTCCAGAGTCCTCTTGTTAAACTCCTGGAAAGCAATTTGGCAGTTTTCTAATGGAATCTATTTTTGGTGATCATCTTGGGGGCCTTAGTTTTTTAATCTTTAAAATAAAAACTAGATGCAAACTAAAGTCTCCCAAGCTCCAAAGTATAGTAAATCCTAACTGTTTTGTAGTTTCAATACTTCTATCAGTCTATCTGGGAAAGAGAAGGAATCTTGCAGGAGTTGGTCATCCCAAGGCCGTACTTACAGAAGATAAACTTTGCATGAACATTATTGATGCCGTTGCATTTTGGGTGCTATTATAGAGAAACATGCATCCCTCTTTGAAAAGCTTACTAATAATACAGTTTTCTTGGGGGCAAGGACCCTTTTCACACACAAAAATGCCTGTGATGTCAGATGAACACCTAAAAATGGAAAGGGAGAATGAGAATTAGGTTTACTTCAGAAATACTTGTCATTCTCCTTGACTAGCTTATGTAATAATTTGTTTCAAGGACCGTGGCTTGCTAGATACACATTAAACATTTTAAAAACTGCTCTATTAAGAAAGTTCATCGATTTGTAAATGCATTCCCCTTTATTTTAAAGATTTGGTATTGATGAAGGGGTTCTGTGTTGCCAAGGGCTTTATCAACTAAACAAAGTCAAAGCAAAAGATACCAGGAAATCCAGAAGGACTTAGGGATTCCCAAGGGAAGATGACTCAAGTCTTTCTTGGGTCTGTTTTTCTTTGCATTCATTTCCACTGGACATCAGAGAAAGAAGGTTCACACCTATAACCCTCGCACTTTGACATGCCAGAGGTAAAGCAATACTCGAGGTCAAGAGTTGGTGACCAGGCTGAGGAACATAGTGAGACCCTGTCTCTACCAGAAATAGAAAAGTTAGCTGGGTGTGGTGGCATATGCCTGTGGCCTGTGGTCCTCACTACTTAAGAAGCTGAGATGCGAGGCCTGAGGTTGCAGGAAGCTATGGTGACATCATGCACTGTGGTCAGGGTGACAGAGCAAGACCATGTCATAAGAAAAAAATAAAAGATTCCTTCCTGAAGTAACAATCTCAAATGTTGTCAATGGGAGTGAAAAGGAGAGCTCCGCTTAGGAGTTAGTTAATATCTACCAAAATTATAGTTGAAGGTAAACTTTGACCTAGTAATTCTTAGGAGAATTCAATGGATGTGTAAGTTTACCTACACCCATGAGAAATGACATACATGTAGTGTATTATTGGTTAGGACAAAGGATAGGGAGCAACCCATGTGATAATAGAAGATAGGGAACAAGTCATGGAGCAATGAGAGGGGACTGGTGAATAAGTTAGGGTACATCTACACGATGGAAAACCATGTAATTATTAAAAAACAGTGCGAAGGCATATATTCCTATGGAATTATATTTAATTTTCCTTAAGTAATACTGAAAAAGTAAATAATAAACTAATCAAAATAGTTACCCAAAGGAGATGAGAGGGGAGGGAACAAAATAAAAATGGTGGTAGGAGGGAGACACCTAAAATGATGACTTAGTCTATGGTTTTGATATTTGAACCATATAAATATTTGTCGATTATTTTAAAAAAGCAATACATTTTAAGAAATGAAAAAAACAAAGAATCTCTTGTCAATTAAGTCTCAAGCTGTAATTAAATTAAGACATTGCTTAATGAAATTGAGCAATAACTTAATCGCTTAAATTAGAGAAATTTAGTGTCAAATAACCAATGAACTTTAAACAGGAGAAAAAGTACTGACCTTGTTACTTTGATTTGATTTTGACCATCTATGTAGAAAGGTCTGTCACTGTTATATTCATCAAACACACCCCAACGGAGATGGGCCCATTCGTGGACAAACACTCTGCCTGTGAAAGAAAGAGCTTTCGCTTTTGAGCTCCTAAAATGTTGGTAATGGGCCCTGCTAATCAGTGTAGATGTTACTTTACTTAACAATACATGTACATACTCATTCCAAAGAGTTGAAGTCCAATTCCCTCTCCTCCACCCCATTCCCATCTCCTCCTACTCCGCCCCTGACCATCATAAAAAAAGGCAGTTACAAAACTAGGTTTGGTCCTGTAATGCCAACTGGTGGTTTACCTCTGCACGTATCTGAAGCCAGTGAGCGTTCCCACATCCTCTCATTTTCCCGGTGGAGCTGCCTAACAGGTTTCTATGCAGTTTCATAGAAGTCTATAAGTTCAGGGTTTGGCAAACGAGAAAGAAGCAGATCCAGGCAAGCAAATAAAGCTTTCCTAATCCTCAGTCTATGCTATCCAAGCATGCTTTTTTTTTCCTCTCAGGTTTTTCTATCTAGAGCAATGTTTGTTTCTAGCTAGGGGCCCAAGAGGGAGGAAGGTGCAAAAAACAAAAAAGGAGATCGTAGAAACCTCTTTCCAGCCTGGGTAGTCCTTTCCCTTTGACTGTATCCTTTCTTCTTTGTTGATGATGTTTATTTCCAGCTCTTCGTTTCTGGAAACCCTCATCCTTAGCATGAAGTCCTTCATCCCTTTATCTCGACCTTCCTAATATTATATAACATGTCTTACATTTCCTTCCAAGTTCAGATCAAAACTCAACTTCTCCCCCACAGAAGTTTTCCAAATGAACTCCCCTCTTAAGGCACCTAGTTTTCTTTTCTGAATTCTTTTAAGATCTGGGAACCCAGAAAGTATTTGCTGAGTTGACTTAGACTCTGGCATACTGTGCAATTTTGAATCTTGAGACCGAGGAGGGAGGGTAACAGTTTAAGCTGAAAGTATTGAGGGAACGTTTATGCCCAATCATGAAATTTCGAAGTGCTGTTGAAGTCATATGTTTATGCAGAGATTATCAGCACCTCATGGTTACCATAGAAGAAAAAAAGAATGTTTTTATGAAATTTACAAAGTGTTTTGTAAAGTATTTTACGGGGTGTGTTCTCCACTTCCTCCTAACTAGACAGATGATAACAAAACCTATTTAGATTTAAATAGGGTAAAAAAGGATTAAAATATCATTTGAAAGGCATGACTGTAACTTAACTCAAAAGCAAAAAGTTACGATTGGGACCGTTAGCCCTTGATCACCTGATGCGTCCCCACTAGTTTCTCCCTCAGATCACACCCACTAAAGACCTACACGACCCTGACTTCTCTCCCAGTGGCCACCCACAGGCTGAACCTCTCCCGGAGGGAGTCTGCTGCCGCTCACCATCAACTGGCCTGAACCCAGAATCATGGATTCCTCCTTTACGCTGGTGCCTTCTGTCTCTGACAGAAACTCGGTGCGTTCCTTGTTCCTTACGGAACACTCATGGACAAACACTTGCCTTTCACCTTGTAGCAGTGCTGTCTCTCTCTGGGATATTTGTCAGCACTTAGAGTTGAATTAAATAAGATAACACTGGAAAAGCAAACAGCAGAGCATCTGGCCTTCAGGAAGTCCTCGTGCCCTTATTCCACTATCTTTCCTTCTCCCTGTCTCCACTGCTTTTCAAGTCCTGTGGCCTCCTACCTGGACGTCTTCCAGTAATTCTCCTAATATCCAGTTTCACGCTCACTGCTCTGAGCAAGCCAGATTATCCACCCAGCCAGACTGCTGCAGTGGTGCCTCTCCTGTGGTCATCACCCTTCAGTGGTGCCTGATAATCCGGGCATTTCAGACTGTCCATCACCTGGCCCCTTGTGTGTTGGAGCATTTTCTCCCCTCATCCACTGTCCCTCCACACCATGGGTGAGGTCAACTGCTCCCTGACCCTCAGATAAGCTGCAACAGTGTTACTCAGACTCTGCCCTCTAATCTCTACTTTCTTTTACCAAAACATGTTTGACCTTGAAGAGCTTCATCTCTGTGAGCTCCTTTCTGACCCCACTTTGGCTCAAAATGATCTCTCCTTCACTGAAGTCTTATAGAACTCTTGTCTGGGCCACTTGTCTGGGGCTTAGCTCTGTGGCTCCCTTCGTCCCCCATCTCTCAGCTTTGCATGGACAAGAGGGCTATCATCGTATTCATCCTATTCTTTTTTTTTTTTTTTGAGACAGATTTTCAATTTGTCCCCCTTGGTAGAGTAACATGGCATCAGTTCCCAGCAACCTCAACCTCTTGGGCTCAAGTGATCCTCTTATCTCAGCGTCCCAGGTAAGTGGGACTATAGTTGCCCCCTACAATGCCTGTCTATTTTTAGAGACCAGGGGCTTGCTCTAGCTCAGGCCGGTCTCAAACTCCTGAGCTCAGGTGATCTACCTGCCTTGGCTTCTCAGAGTGCTGGGATTACAGGTATGAGGCACCCTATTCTTCCTATTCTTGACAGCTTTCAGGTTTTCTAAATCCCGTTTAGCATCAGAGACAGAGTATTGTTTATAGTGATTGATTATATATTGATTATATTTTTATTAGTCCCACTTACCTCGTGATCCGTAGCCAGCTATTAAGTTATCACTTAGTAGGAAATTGGATGTGAAATGAATGTATTTTCCCTCTTTCCCACAACCTCTGTATTGTAGGGTATATGGGTCATCTCCATGTGCTCCATACCAGTCAGTCACTATAACATTTGCCTAAATTAAAAGAAATGCCTTGTAATACTGTCTCACCTGTGAGGTTGCTGACACAGATGTATGCTTTTGGTAAAGCATTTTAAAGATACACTTAGGATCCGTGCATTTTTACCATATGTAATTATACTCCCATTCAAAAACAGAATTTAAAAAAAGAAAGAGATGCCTTCTAGATGGATTCTGTAATGCACCCACAGCCAAATCTCAATAAAATCACTTGAGACTTTCAAAAATATCTGTTTTAAAAGTTCAGCAAATTTCTAGTTTCAAATAGGGCTCCTTTACTTCCATTCAATGTTTCATTTTTCAGATGAAAATATTCTCAAAAACCAACACTTGTAAGTCTGATACTATCAAACACTATAAAACAGTGGTTCTCAACCTTCCTAATGTCGTGGCCCTTTGATACAGTTCCTGTGGGTTGCGACCCACAGATTGAGAACCACTGCTATGCTATAAAATGTAATTAAAATATGTGAGGAACACTTTATATCATTCAGAACTGTCCTGTAATACGTTTCGGCCTTTTGTGAACAACTTTCTGTGGGTTATTTCATCAGTGCAAGAGAATAGGATATGTTTCTTTTATGTTCAGAAAGACAACATGCCCTGGACCTGCCCTTAAATGTTATGTTGGTAAGAAAGTAAAGTAAAAGCCAATTTTGGAACAATAGATCTAATATGAACCAATATATATAGTTATCACTGCGTGTACTATATGTGCGTGTGTGTGTGTGTAACTGGGAAGGTGGTAAGATTTTCCGCTTTGTTTTCATATTTCTACGTTGTTTAACATTTTTGAAATGAGTGTGAATAACTTTCGTAATAATTTGTTTTTAGAAAGATTAGAATTTGAGCCAAGGGTGTTATAAGACAGCACCTATAAAAAAGTCTAGAGATTTTGCCCTTGGGTAGTTGTCATTTGGGTGACATCCTACTCCTAATGCCTCAAAATTTGTCCTCTAACAAAGAGAAAAGTACTCTGCTTTTGATGGAATAATCAGAGGTGATTTGGGGTTATATTATACCTTAAAGACCACAGAAATTCAGTTCTTGTCTACTTTTCCTAAACCCTCCCTGATTCCTACTTCCACTACATGACAGATTCACAAGGACAAGAACCACCTCTCCTGTCCTTGGATCCTCTGCAGTGCCTAGCATGGCCTCTGTACATAATGAAGACTCACTACATGTTTGCTTAATTGCCCTTATGGGCTTAAAGGAATTGGTATCCAGCAGATACATGTAAGTGAACAGCATTCCATGACTATCAGTCCCTTTAGTCTTTCTATTTAGTTCTCACTTGTTTTACTTATTTTTCTCCATTAGATCAAGAATACTTTCTCTGGCAACCTGGTTTTGGTGTGGGCTGTCTCTGGTGTGTCTTAGTTCCACTGAAGGCCAAATTGATGAATGAGAAGTCTCTACAAAGAGCTAGAAACAACTTGGTCAAATAGATATTCAAATTGTGTCTCAGTAATTTACTAGCTGTTTGACTTGGAAAAAGTCCATACTTTACGTGAGTCTCAGTTTCCTAAATTGTGATAATAGCAACTAATTTCAGGCTAGGCAAGAATTAATAATATATGTAGAGTGCCTGATCCTTGGTTAAAGCTTCAACACTGGCTTTCTTCCCAGTGTGCTCTGGTTCCCCACCCATCTCCATGCCGAAGCACTGTCAAATGCTTTCATTTGGTCGTCAGTTGAAAGCTTTTAGGAGCCTCTTGGAGTACCTATCAAGATTGCTCTACCATTCGGTTTCTGAGACAGTAATTTCAAGGAAAGATAAGAATTTAAAAAACATAAGAACTTTCACACTGAATGACAGAAATGAGGAAAAGAGGAAGCTGCACCACATGTCTGTGTCACTCTGGCAGAGCTATAGTTACCGTCTCAAATCCGTGCCATTGCTGAAGCCCTGAGTTCTCAAGGCCTCTACTCCTGGTCCTTCTGGTAGCTGCAATGGGCTTTTGTTCACAGTGACTTCAGATAGTCATTTGTCAAACTTACTTAACATTTACTTACTGGTGTGCCTACCAGGGGGGTCTAATGATTTGCAGCTTCCAACAGTTTTTAAAAGTCAAGTTCATCTTTGCTTGGAAAAGAAAATATAGCCACTCCCCTGCCTACCCACACCCTTCCTGCCTTCTTTCTTTTTTCCTTATTCTTCAAAACCATCATTCTAGACTTGGGCTAATGCAAAAGTTTGCTGATTTTAAAAATGGCATGAGAAGATGGTCTTAGTTTTTTTATGTGTGAGCCGCTCACATTTCTGCCTGGACATGCGCATTAACTGTCCCTGACAGGATGCTAAATGGAGATCATGATAATTGGAATCATTCCCTCCACAGCTCATCCTCCATAGGATGTAACTAGTTCTTGGTCCTTGACCAAAAATTACAGAAAGGATCCCTTAAGTTGTAAAATAAAGAAATCTACTGAGACACTATGTAGGCAATAGCATTTGGCTTATTTTTTACTCCATAATTTGCACTCATTTATTTTATTTCTGTGTATTTTGTTAATACAATTCTGTCCAATAATGTTATTTGTATATTAATACTAATGGTTTGGTTTTGCTTAAGTTTTCACTTTTAGAGTTTGAATATTGTATATTTTGGTGGTTATTTCCCCGTAAGATCACTTAATGACATTCAGAATCCTTACCTTTTCATATGATTCTTGCTTTACTTTGGTGTAATTATTAGCTTTCCATGTGGCAGGTATTAAAATTTTGATATTTCTGAAAAACACTCTTTTCTTGGTGGCGTTAAATAGATAGAAAGAAGCTTCAGTTATCATTTCCTAGAAACAAACAAAAGGAAAATTTTATTTTAGCACTTGTAAATCCTGTATGGTTTCATTGTCTGGTTTTACTTGAGGAGTAATAAAAAATATTTCAAATGTTTTGAAGAAGCCCATTTCTCTTAGAGAAAGTATTAGACAGACTGTGGGAGAACGTAGGAACAAGGTTTTAGAGACAAACTTGAAACGATCCTATGGAAGAGATTTTAGGACATTGATTATGTGTCTGTACTTGCCTTCATAACTTTCTCAATTTTGTGAAGGCCTTTTAAGCTCTTACTGAACAAATCCTATTCCCGTCATCCCTCTGGGCATGTTGAAGGCCGCACCTTATGATGACACTCATCTCACTACAGAATTACCAAAAGGACGCTCTTCAGTATTAGAGCTCTGACCCTGCCCCTTGGTATGGTAAAGTGAAAATAGTTAATTACTTTATACTGCATTCAAGGGAAAAGAAATAATTTTACATTTTTTGCAGACTCTCACCCTTTCTGCCTGAGCATCCGCCCCCTCAGGGTGGAATCCAAGAACATGATTTTAACAAGCACTTTTATGCTTATTCATCTCTCAAACATCCAGTCTTTGCTGCCACCATGGTTGCTATTTTTCTAAGCCACTACCCCCCCCATCATGTAAGAAAACAAAAAAGCTAAAATTAGTAATAACAACAACAATAAAATTGACAGTTTGATCACCAACACTCTGTGAGCTGAGACTACACAGAAGTAGATGAGTAAACTGGCTTAACCATCACTGTAAACTTTGGCGCTATCTTTAGGAAATGTTGCTCATTCTACGGCTCAAACACAAACCAGGCGAGGTTATGTGCTTTTGAAAGAAGGCTACAGGTCTGATTTAATGGAATAAGGCTATCAGTTTCCTAATTGCCACTCACCTTAATGTTTGAGATGAGGTTCTGATTCTCTAGTACCTGAGGATTAATTGCAACGAGTAATCCGTCATACCCATTGTTCTGAAGCTGCACTCCAGCTCCCAGGAGTAGGACTTGTGGACTTAGAGCAATCAGGAGAGTCACAAACTTCAGGCCGCAAACAGGGCCTGCATTGTCCATGGGGGTCATGTTGCAGAGAAGCCTCTGGTTCACTCACACTGGGCCTGCTGGGCACATTACGCCAGGTTGTCAGTGCTGGTGTGGATGGCTTCTTCCTGAACTTGGAAGGTCTTAAAATATACGATGAAGGAGGTGCCTTCTTTGAAAAATCTGGGGTGGCTCAATCTGGGACTTGTTTCTACAAGTCCTTTTCCTCTGGGCCATGCCACACTTGCCTGTTCTGTGGCCAAGCTTCCTTCTGAATCATGGTTGGGCAGGAAAACTTCGGCACCTTACTCACTTTCTATCCTCTCGGAAGGAAGATGGGAAAAAAGAAGCTTAAGAGTGAGAGTTCTGGCTGGCTGGGTTAGAAATCGGTGTATCTAGAATCTTCCACCCACTTGCTGTAGAAACACAGAAATCTGTGATTTTCCTCTCCTCGTTTTTTGACAACCTCCTCTATCCATTGGTGCAACTACCTCCTACTGCTTGAAAATCATTTTTTGTTTGTCGTAAGATTCCCCTTGCCTGCTTGTTTGGAAGATTTGGAAATCCATTCTGCAGCCCTGTCCCTAGAGCCCTTGGATGGGGTAGTCTGGGCCAGCTCTCAGCTGATGGCCGGGGGTCAGGTATCAGATATCCCCCAGGGAGGGCCAAGTGCCAGGAGCTAGGCTGCCGTGCAGGCTCCAGGGCCTTCCCTCTGGCCTTACTGCCCTTTGTTTCTGGACCAGGAGGAAGAACAAATTTCTCTTTCAGCAGCTTTCTTGAGGGTAAGGCCCTGACTCAGCCAATCTTCCATTTTGCTGGCCCCTATCACAGCACCTAGTACACATATAGCAGCCTTCACAAATATTTTATGACAGATTAATAATACCTGATAATGACAAAATGCTTTCCAGTTCACAAATTAATTATTAAAATACCCAATGGGGGAAGGGACTAACGTTGATTGGGTGAAAGGGTTAATCATGTTTTTTTCTGTGGGTGACAGAACAAAGGCTGAGATAATCTAAGTGACTTGTGCAAAGTTGGGAGTATAAGCATCATACTGGAATGAGACCCACTGACCCCAAATTCCTTTGTTTTTCACTATATCATGTTCTCAGTTACCAAATCATGCTAGGAATCTTTCTCTCCTAACTTTGTGTATCACAACTCCACATTCAGTGACATCTGTTGTAAAATTCAGGAAAAGGTTTGACTTCTGGGGTTAGAGGTCCACAGAAAGCAAATCTTGAGACTTTCAGCCCCCTGCCCACTCTTTCCTACTGTGGTCTGAAGGTTGCTGGGGAGTAGAGGGCATGTAGCAGGCAGGGAAGCCTATGTCCTGCTCTCCACAGGGATTTCACCAACACTATCTTTTTCCTGTTCTATGGACCATCCTCAGACACAGTACAATGTCATTCTTCCTCCCACAAAGGTTGGAGTCTTCTGAACCAGGCTTTTCATCCTCATCTTTGTCCTGGAAAACAATGAATAACAGATAATATTAGACCAGCTCTTATCATGCAGGCACTTTGTTTATATACTGTAATTGAAGTATTATTATAGTCTTCATTTTACAGATGGAGACTTAAATAGTTTCCATAAGATGGGGAAACTAATAATATCCACCTCATAGCTTTGTTGAGAAAACATTAGTTAATTTACTCAAGTGCTCAGAGCAGTACCTGGCATATAGCAAGCACTATATAAATATTAGCTATCATCATTACCACTACCATACATCGACACATAGAATACCTTCGTCCTTCCCCTTGCTATTTATTGCTTATTAACTTGATGCACTGTGGTGGGCACCTGACATAACAGTGAACAAGGGTTAGTTCTTGTCTCCAAGGAGCTCCCACATGGAGAAGGGGAGATGGTGAGTTATATAAGCAGAAGCATGGAGGACAACTGCTGTCTGCCGGGCAGCATTACACCGGACTCCAGAGGGGATACAGGGAAGATTATCTAAAGGCAGTGACATGGAAGCTGAGACAAAAGGATTAAGCAAGATAGAGTGGATGAGGGTGGGGAGGAGGCTAAATGCCAAAAGCCTAGAGGCGAAGGACTGCTGGGGAGAAGGCAAGAGACTAGAAATGAGACGTGAGAGCTACGATGTTGAAGGAGAGGATTTTCCCCTTGCTGTCCCTCTGCGTGGAATTTCTCTGGCTTCTTTTCTACTTCTTTTTCTGCTTTACCTTCTCATTCCAGATCTGTCCTGAAAGCCTGGCCTGAGCTCCCCAACTAGGTCACATTCTCCTCTTTCATGGTTGCATAACATCAGATAACTCTCCTTTGAAGTGTTATCCTGGGCCCCATGTTACCTTTACATTGTGTAACTGGTTGTTGGCTTCCAGCTATAGGCTGTATGAGAGAAGGGGTGGTGTCTGTTTTTATTCACTGCTTTCCCAGCACCTAGCTCAGTAAACTCTGTTAAATGAATGAATGAATGAATGAATGAGTGGTTGGAGTCAGAAGTAAATAAAAGCCAGGATCATGAAGGAGTCCTGGATTATAGTGTCAAAATGCTTCCCCCTACTTTGTTCCCTGGAAGGCATCTCTCTTGTCCTAGAGTGGTCTCCTCTTTCTCTCTTGACAGGAAGCCCCTGGGTATTGGTGCCCCCCCCCCTCCGGGGTCTTTGCAGAGTGGAATGTCACTGGTCACAACGCAGCAGCCCAGGTTGCTCCCCCTACAACTCAGCAGCTCTGGCTTGTCTTCTGAGGCTGATTCCCAGCTATAGGTTTTTTCCACTCACGCTGTGCCTGGGGTGGAAGGACAGAGGTGTGGCCACTCCAGAGGCGATGCCTGGAACTGTGACTCATCCAGCAGAACAATGCCCTTTGTTTCAACTTTCCTTAGCAGTTTATTTTCTTATTCCAATCTCTTGTGATTTTAAGGGAAAAAGTCACATCACCAAAGCAGTGTACTCAAAATGAAACTTGTGTGTACACTGAGGAGTAGCCTTCGGCCGGCAAGCCTGGAAGTGTCTTCTTGCCGTCATAGGCGCTTGGGTAAGTGGTTCGGTGGCTGAGAGGGCCAGTGAGGACCAACGTCTGGTGTTCTCACTGCCTGTTTATTATCAACAGTGGCAGTGGCTTCCTCAGGACGTGGAGGCTGAGGATGCTGGTTGGCTACAGGGTGCACACAGCTTTAGGAAGAACAGCCACCAGTGAACATCCTTGTCTAACTTCACCTGGGCAATAACCTGAGCAAGCTCACGTAGGCTTTGCTCAGCCTGCGCTGAGTTCAGGCATGGCGTCTGTGCCGTCCACCTGCTTTCTGGCTCTTTGGTTGTAGAACCCAATCTCCAGGTCTGACGACTTTAATGGACTCCAGTTTCATCTCTTATGAGATCACTGGTCATAAACTCATTTTCTCATCCTGGTTTGGGAACACCATTCACTCCCGAAAAGCTTTTCTAGCCTACCCCTCAGAACCCTTGTTGCTGTCAGCAACCAGGGTTGGGGCCCAGCCAGCTAGGCCGTTTTTTCACTGCCTTCCCGTCTTACCAGGCTGACCCTACAGTAGACAAAAACAAAAAGCTGGAGAAGAGTGACTTGACGGAATGAATTAGGAGTCATTATTGAGCAGAGAATCTTCATCTGACAAAGGGTGACTTTTCAACAAAATAAACATTTTATCCCTTCATAAAAAAAAAAAAAATCCAAGGGGAGAAGGGCAGATGGGTGGAGGGAGGGTGACTGGAAAGATCACCTATATGGTCTGTCTAACAAGGGTACAAGTGAATTTTTTTAGAACTAGAGTATAAATGTTTTAACACAATAACTAAGTAAATGACACAAAGTCTATGTTAACCAGTTTGATGAAAATATTTCGAAGTGTATATGAAAACACTACACTGTACCCCATGTTTGCATTAATGTACACAGCTATCATTTAATAAAAAACAAACCAACAAACAAACAAGAACAAAAAACATAGCAGGGTCGGGAATTGAGGTGACCCAGAATAAATCCAGAGTCTGAACTTTTCATTACTGTCATCCTGCCTCTATGTACGTGAACACACATACTATGTTTCCGTCAAGCCTTGCAAATTTCCCTGTTCAGATATCTCTGACATTTCCTCTATTAACCCTTTGGATTAAGATGTCTTTAATTCCTGTTAGAGGGCAATGCAGGATTCTTTTGTGGTAAATTGTGTTCATGAACATGTTGTAATCACAATTTGTTCATTAACATTTGGTTTTATTACTTATATTAAACACATCAAAAAAACTGTGCTTAGTTAGCAAAACAAATACATATTTTAATTTACTGTAATAATAAAGGGGGTTAAAATGAACTATTACAAAAAAAAAGAAATCCAACAGAGACTTTACCTAACAAATGCAAACATTATAACCTCATTGTTTGGACCCTCATATTAATCTGAAATAAAAAATATTCACAGGTCATGTCCATAGATTTTATATTTGAGAAATAGAAATATACTTGAAGTGAAAGAAAATGGGAATCTAATTTTCAAGTGTTTATTTCCATGTTACATAAACTCTAGGAATCTGCTCTGCAGTTATCTGCTTTCAAGAAAATAAGGGTTATTCAATTTCAGTAACCAAAGAATTTAAAACACATCTTTGTTCATTGTCTGAATCTGCAGTTCAACCTGGCACCAGAACAAGCCTGCCTGTTCCTTTTCATGGAGTCCGCTGGTACAGATCCACGGTCAAACTGAATAAAACATCCAGCTGGTGTCAGAGAACTCAGGAGATGTGACAACTTGAGGAATCAAAGAAAGTTTCCGATTGTTTCCTATCAGGCTTTTGTTTCAACAATTTCGTTTGGAAGACGAAAGTATATAGTCTATTGCATGGTTGGGTTATAAAACCCACGGGCCACTTCAGTTTATGCAATGTCTATGAATATAAATCAAAATAGAAGCGAGACAAACTGTAAAGACGAAGAATTTAAACAAATTCAGAGTTTGCCAAGGGCTCAGATGCCACGTTTTATACCTCTCTTATCCCACCTTCTTCACATTTCTACTCATTTTCAAAGCAAAGCCACACAGTGGATGGCCC